GAGTCCTGGAGGGCTTGCTGAACTAGAGCAAGGAAGTTACTCACCTCCAATCCCTTCAGCCCTGTGAGGTTAGTGTTAGCATCCATCATCACAGGAGATAGTGCAAGCTGCATGCTTTGCCTGAGGTCACACAGCTGGTCTGAGTTAGTCCCCCATGCTACCCATGGCAAGCATAAAGCCAAGCGCTTAGCCTGAACCTCATACTCATGGCCAGCTGAAATGGAAGAATTGCCCTGGCAGTGAGCAGATCCCAGCCCTCAGCGGGCAGCACCACCACCGCCCTCACCAAGGCTGCCAGTCCCCAAAGTCTGAGAGGAAGGGGCTGTACGGGGCCAACCCTGGGGCACCAGCCTACTTGGTGTTCCCAAACTCTGTGCTGTGGACACTGAGCTCCTGCACAGAGGCAGCAGAACAGATGCTGTTCCTCCAGATGATGCCATGGGGCTGCAAGACAAGTGCTCAGGGGGCTTGGCACAGAGGAGCTGTCGTCCCAGCAAGGCCGGGTCTCCACTCATTGGTAACTATTCCAGGTCATGGATGCCATCCCATGGCATTGCTGGACTCCACCCTCCTCCAGGCAGCATGTGGCCGAGGGCAAGGAAGGTTACCCCCCTGTATCCTCACACCATGCTGTGACCTGGCCCTTCCAACTGTGAACCCTTGGCAGTGCCTGACCAGCTGAAAGGAACCAAACAGGTGAAATTACATCTTGTCCTACTGAACGCAATGAGACCATCTGAAAAGAAGTAGAAGACATAGCTCCCGTCACTGAAACACTTAACATAGTGTTGGAAAATGCTTTTCCAATACACTGTTTCGATATAGGGCCTTTAGGGCCTTTCTTGAGCCTCACTCAATGTTGAGAACAGGAACACAGGATTATGCGGTAATAACAGATGAAACAAACACTCAAAGTGGAAATGGCGGTAGTCACAAGGTTCACTCAAAATGAGTTTGGAGACAGCCTGGGGAACATAATCCCCAGTTGCTTTCACTTTTAAAAAGCAAGAATATTTGAAAACTTCTTAAAAATGAGTGTGAAACTAAAACTTGGAATGAACCCAACAAAGCAAGTAAAAAAGGAAGAGTTCCTGCAAAAATGTGTCACAAAAGACATTCAAGACCAGGAAGGAAGTGTGGTCACAGAGCTGGCTATACAGGCCATTATCCACCAGACCCAAATGTCTGCTGTGGTTATCCCCACTCCTCAGATGAGGAAAAGGGGCACCAAGAAGGGAAGTGACAGGTCAGTCCCTCAGACACTTGCAAGCCACATAGACTGACGTAGACTCCCAACAATCTTACCCTGTGCTCTGGCACTGGTAACTGTATTCAGTGTCCTTCTGCTGATGACTCCTATCCTGAGCCTCTTGCTTCCCCCTTGGCCCATCTCTAACCCTAGCCGTGGCCCCAGACATGCCTACAGAGAGCTCAGTGTCTTTTGACCAGCCCTGCCACCAACTAACAGAATGTGACCCCAGGCCTAAGGGATGGTTCCTCAGGCCACAGGAATTCAAAGGAGGACAGCAAAGGCTGAAGACTGCTAGAAAGCTTTCTGGGAAAGGGTGCGGCCCAGACAGATCCAAAGAGAATGGAAAAGGTAGGCCAACCCATGGAAAGAGACATCACTAAAAAGACCTGAGCTCCTACACAGAGGCAGCAGAGAGCAGTGGTCTTCAGAATGAAGCAAGGCCACAGTCTAGGAAAGATCGATGCAGAGCAAACAACTTATAGCTTGCTGGCAGTCTCTGCTTGTGAAGAAAGGGCTGGGGCCTGAGCCTGACAGGAGGGGTCACTCCCAGTGTGGGTCCAGTGTCTGGATCCTAGCTAGTATCCACGGGCTGTGTCTCCACAGTAGCAGCCTTTTCCAGTCTCTTGGCAGTGCACTTTAGAGAGATTGCAGAGAAATGATGGGAAGAATGCCCAGTGGAGGAAAAAAACCTGTCCAGCCCAAGCTCTGTTTCATCTGGTCCCGGCCAGGGATAAGCAGGTAGGTCATTTCTGTGGGGTCACCAGGCCCTTCCCAGGCATCATGAGATCTCACCACCTCTGGAACTTTAGCCAACAACCCTGACACAACATCAAGCTCCAATGAGAGCCCACCAATACCCATCCCTGTGAGCCAGACAAAGGCTCCTGGCCTCTGCTGACCTTGCAGTAGTGGTAAGACCATCCAAGAAGCAGGTAAAAGAGGAAGTATGGTGAGCTGGGCAAGGAACTCGTTGATGGAGCACCTGGTTAGCACACAGGAAGCCATAGGTTCCATCTCCAGGCCCCACACATAAAATATTTAATTCCTCAGCCACACTGTCTGCATTCTCAGCATTCACCAGCCTCATGTGCTAAGTGGCTATCTTGTTGGATAGCACGGAAATAGGATATTTACATTGTTGCAAGAAGTTCTAGACCTAAAATTTGCTGTGAAATACTTGACACAAAATTTTTTTTCCTGCTGTGTATGTGTGTTTATTTTTAATTATGAGAGGGAGGTACACATGAGTACAAGTATTTCTAGGTGCTGGAAGCATTGGAGCCTCTGTAGCTGGAGTTTTGTGAGCCACCTGACATGGATGCTGGGAACCAGACTTGGTGCTCTGCAAGAGCAATGAGAGCCCTTGGCCTCTTAGACAGCTCTCTAGCCCTTGTTTCATTCATTCATTCATTCATATATACATACATACACACACACACACATATCTATATGAAAGCAGATAAATTTGCTTTGAACTCATAATCCTGCATCAGACTCCTTAATGTTGGGACCATGGGTGTTCACGAGCACTTGTGTGAGTTTAGGATTCCTTGGTGAAAAAAAAAAAAGTATGCAAAATACACATTACTATTATTTTCATTTATTTTATTAATATTTAATTATTTTTTCAAAATAATGGAATTTATACTTGTGATAAGTACTTTGATCATATTCACACTTTCTTATCCCTCTTGACCTCTCCCATCTTCCCTCTTCCTGAAGATTTTTTCTACTTACCTGTTAGAGGGAGAGAATGTTTATGCACACACATGATTTTATGTGACCTGTGTTCCACAAATGAGCGAAAACATGGAACATCTCAGTCTGGCTTATTCTACACAATGATCTCTAGCTGCATATATTTTCCTGAAAATGATATGCTTTTCACTATGAATGAATGAAACTCCATTATGTGTACACGATACTTTCTCCATTCATTTGTTCACAATCACCTAGGCTGATTCTAAAGCCTGACTCTCATGAAAGTGCTAAAATAAATATAAATGTGCAGATTTACCATGACTTGAATTTCTTCAGGTATATATGAAGGGGCATTAAAATGATTTTCTAAGATATCCCTGAGCAAAAGCTCCAGCATTTAAGATAGTTGGGTAAACAAATTATCCTAGAAATTTTAATATTTTTATGTCAAAACTAACTATGGGCTTAGGTTTAGCTCTTAATGCCTAAAATAGCCCATACTTACATTTTTTAATAAAAATCACTTTATTGTAAGTAATTTTCAAATAAAAATATCACACAGATTGACTAATATAGCCCACAAACAAGCACTTGCCTAGATTCAAAGTCTGTAGATCTCAGTGAATTTCTACATAGTTAAAACAACCATTCAGAAGCCATAGAGCTTCACTTTGGATTTTATACTTTCACTATTTTATGCACATCCACTCACACAAAAGGAAAAATCCATGATGGAGCTAAAACTAGATAAAAGGAGCTTTTTTGTGATTTGTATGGATTACCTGCATCCTGTCCTTCCTCACCATCTACAATGCCCTTTCCTGTTCTGCTGTCTACATGTTATACTATCCCACGTGCACCTGTGTGCATTATAGACTAGGATCCACATAGAACATATAATTTTTTTCTACAGTTGGCAACCTCCATATTATATCAATCTCTTCTGAAATCACTTCTTGATTTAGAGTTTCTGAATAACATATTAGGATTCTCCAGAGAAACAGGAACAATCCAGTGTGCATGTGGCTATGCATGTATGTGTATTTATATGAAGACTGACCATAAGAAATCTGCTTGTGTGGAGGTGAAGCTGCGAAGTTGGACTGGTGAGAAGGATGAACATCTGGGGACAGTTGGCACCACAGTCCTGGGCCACAGGGCAATATGGAGCTTAATGGACATGGCAGTTTGAGTAAGTAAAGCCCCCCCACCCCCCAGTCAGCTCACATACTTGAACACTTGGTTCACAGTTGATGGTACTGTTTGGGGAAGCTGTGGAACCTTTACGAGATAGAGTCTTGCTAGAAGAAGTGTCACTGAGAACAGACTGAGAGGGATTTTAGCTTCACCCCATTTCCAGTTCACTCCCTCAGCTTTGTGTTTGGGGCTGAAGATAGTGTCTCTCAGCCTCATACTTGCTACGATGCCTCCCCTGCTACTGTGGACTCTCCCTTTGGAATGGTAAGCTAAAATAATTTTTCTGTAAGTAGTTTTTGCTCAGGACGTTTTATCACAGCAGCAAAAGTAACTAATACAACATAACTGGGTCACATGCAATCCTGGGAAGCACTACGGCCAGGGAGAGCACTGAGCATTTTGTGGAGTTGGTCATTCACGCTTCAGCTCCTCATTGGCAACTAAGTCTATGTAAAGACTTAAGAAAGAAAAGTGTAATGGAAGCTTTGGTTTCTTTGTATGTTATGTAAATATACTTTTGTTTTAATCCCAGGTGTGGGATTTTAGTTTGTCCACACCTGTTAAATGTCACGTGTAGGGCGTGATCTTTGCCAGCTGGTAATAGCCTTCCACATGAGGCATGGAGAGGGGCGTGCTCTAGTACTCTGAGGGTGTAAATATGAAGCTGAGAAAGAGAGCAAATAATGTTTTGGAGTGGTGTTCTGTGTGGCATTCGGTGTTGGCGTGTGGCATGGAGCAGTCTGGAGAGATCAGAGACAATGTGACGGTTTGGAGAAGACATATGGAGAGAAACACTTCGGGGCACAGCAACATAGAGGAGACCGCTGGCTGCATCTGTGGTTGACAGAGATTGGTATAGAGCCCTAAAGAACCCCGTGACCCTAAACAGTCAGGGACGTAAAAAGGTCTGGATCCTCTCTCCCCACTAACCTTTTCTCTCTTCTACTTAAGTTTGGGGGGTTGGTGGAAAGGAGGTAGAGGCCTAAACACCCCAAATAATGTAGAGGTTTTTTAAAAGACCACTACAGGTGGATTTCTGCTACAGAAAAGAGTCATTTTAGGTTGATATTGCCAAAGAAGTTTTCAGATTGAGTGCGGCTAATGAGAAGAGTGGAGCTGTGATGTGCTGAAAAGCAGAAATGGGAATCCAAACGTATTGGCAGAACTAGGTTGAAAGGTTTGAGAGGTAAAAGTGGGGAGTTAATGCCAAGTCAGAGAAAAATGTGATCTAATGAGCCAGTGGCTAATGAGTGAATTATTTTACTGTGAGAGTGAATGCAGCTGTGAAAGCCAAAGGGGTGAAGTCATAGGATATTGTATCAAAAATTCTTGGAGTGGGCTGATGAGACTCCACCCATCCCTGAGGATCTGTAGAGAGCTAATGGTCACTGGGGGAAGAAGAAACATTTTTCCCTCCTGTGGTACAGTCAGGTACACTGATAAGGTGTTTCTGTAAATGACTCATATTCCTAAAAGCAATAACATGACACTCATCAGGACACACATGCACACACACAAATTCCTATATAACATTGGAATATTTGTACTCTAGTATGATAATTAGGAAGAATAACTTTTCATAGTAGCAGAAATGTTGCTAGAATGGAGAAGAAATAGTGGCAGGCATGAAGTGATCATACTTTAACAGATATCAAAGATAAAGGACCAGCGACACTGTGACAACTCAGCTAAAAGGAGAGAACATGAGAAAGAGACCAAAGTTGGTGATTATCCAGCTGGTAGCATCCTACCTCAGGTTACTGACAGACTCTCTGACTAAGGTGCCATCTTGGGTTGATAGGGCGAGACAGTCAGGATTGGTAGAGATGCCAGGATTGGTAGAGAGCGTAGGTTGTCTCCTAAGCCCTGAGTGTGATGGGATGTGTTCATAAAGTACACAGCCTCAGAGGTGGACACAGGTTCCCTTTGGGCAGGAATAACTTTGTATTAAAGAACATAATAATAGCATTCTAATAAAACATGCGCATCCATGCCCTGCCTCAATGCCCTCTTTTTATTAATGGATGGTTAATATTCCTGGGTTATGAGCAGGGTCAAGTGTGTTGGGGGAACTGGGATTACATTCTACATTTGGGTCATGTCTGTGAAAGGATAGATTATCTGATAAACTGAGTAATAAATTAGAACTGAGGTCTGATGTTTTTTAAGATAGGGTCTTTTTTAATTTTTTCAATTTTTTTATTTTTATTAATTACAGTTTATTCACTTTGTATCCTACCTATAGCTCCTTCCCTCCTCCCCTCCCAACCTTACCCTCCCTGCCTCTTCTCCACCTATGCCCCTTCACCAGTCCACTAATAGGAGAGGTCTTCTTTTCCTTCCTTCTGATCCTAGTCTATCAGGTCTCATCAGGAGTGGCTGCATTGTCTTCCTCTGTGGCCTGGTAAGGCTGCTCCCCACTCAGGGGGAGGTGATCAAAGAGCAGGCCAATCAGTTCATGTCAGAGACAGTCCCTGTTCCCTTTACTAGGGATGCACTTGGATACTGAGCTGCCATGGGCTACATCTGACCTGGGGTTCCAGATTATCTCCATGAATAGTCCTTAGTTGGAGTATCAGTCTCAGAAAAGACCCCTGTGCCCAGATTTTTTGGTTCTGTTGCTCTCCTTGTGGAGCTCCTATCCTCTCCAGGTCTTACTATTTCCCAATTCTTTCATAAGATTCCTTGCACTCTGCCCAAAGTTTGGCTATAAGTCTCAGTATCTTCTTCAAAACCCTGGAGGGTAGAGTCTTTCAGAGACCCTCTGTGGTAGGCTCCTGTCCTGTTCCCTGTTTTCTCCCTTTTCTGATGTCCATCCTCTTTGCTTTTCTGAATGAGGATTGAGTATTTTACCCAGAGTCCTTCTTGATTAGTTTCTTTAGGTGAATATAGGGTCTTTCTACAAAGCCATGGCTGGCCTAGAGCTCACTATATAGACCAGGCCGGCCTTAAACTTACAGAGATCCACCTGCCTCTGCCTTCCAGGTGCTGGAATTAAAGGTGTGCACAACCATGTCCAGCCTTGAAGTCTATTTTTTTTAACTTATCTTTATTTTATATTCATTGGTGTTTTACCTGCATGTCTTTCTGTGTGAGGTTGTCAGATCCTCTAGAACTGGAGATACAGACAGGTGTGAGCTGCCATGTGGATGTTGGGAATTGAACCCAAGTCCTCTGGAAGAGCAGTCAGTGCCCTTAACCACTAAGCCATCTCTCCAGCCCTGAAGTCTGCTTTTTTATTCATGTCTCAGGTTAGAAAAATCCAGAGTTAAAAGTTTTTAATTCAGTAGTAAAAGTATTCTTCCAACAGATTTTTCTACCTGGTATAGGTTGAGCAATCCCTAATCCAATAATTGAGAATCTAAAATGCTATAAATCTGACACTGAGTGCTGACAGAGAATAGGTAAGTACTCCAAAAGGCCAGCTGCACTATAATGCATAGTGTGTGTTCCTGTTCAGTGTCAGCCCCAGAATTATAAAAACATAGCCGTTACTTTAAAAATTACTTCAGGCTATGTGTATTAGGAATATGTAAAAATAAGTCTACCTTATGTTAATCTTTAAGTCAATCCCCAAGATGTCTCTTCCTGTGTCTACAAATATTTCCAAAGCTAAAATCCATACCAATCGGCTAGCAAGCATTTTAGAAGTGGCTGTGCAACAAACAGTACAGATGTAGGCTCTATCCTTGGGGCCAGAATCTGTAAATGTGTGTCTTTCCTATTGTTCTGGCTTCCAGAGGTGGCATGTGTTGAGTTGACAGCCCAGAGCCTACGCATGGGAAGTGAGGAAGGCCCTGTTGTATCTGAAAGCCCCCTGTAGCGGTCTTTTTTTAAACTCCTACTTTATTTGGGGTATTTAGGCCTCTACCTCCCTTCCACCAATCCTCCAACCTTCAGTAAGAGAGAGAAAAGGTTAGTGTGTGGAGAAGCCCAGACCTTTTTACTTCTCCCTGCTAATTAGAGTCAAGGGGTTCTTTTAGGGGTATACCGATCTCCATCAACCATAGATGCAGCTAGCAGGCTCTTCCATGCCACTGTGACCCGAAGCGTTTCCATCTGAGTGCTCCAAACTGCCATACTATCTCTGATCTTTGGTCTCTCCAGACTACTACACACCACAAGCCAACACCAAATGCTACCCCTTCTCTTTCTCAGCTCTCAAATTTACATTCTTGGAGTCCTAGACCACACCCCTCTCTGTGCACACATGGAAGGCTGTTACCAGCTGGCAAAAGCCATGCTCCTCATGAGACAATTAATAGATGTTGACAAACTAGAGCCCAACTATAATCCTATACTTGGGATTAAAACAAAAACATAAAAACATACAAAGAAACCAACACTTGCATTACACCCTATGCTAAGAGGGTAAAAATGGAGACAGCATCTTCTCCACCCACATAGCAGTTCTGACAAGGGACAAAGCCCCATGTGGTGAATATCAGCAGCTGAGGAGATCCTCTAGCCAGGGTCAGGCAAAGGTCAGTGTTCCCTGTCAGGTAGAGGAACAAGGTGCATAGAAGGCAGCACTGCGGGTAGATTATCTGGTTCCCCACCAGGAAACCCAGCAAACATCCACAAGGTAGTTTCTGCTGTGACCCCGTTGCATGGAACTGAGAACCAGCTGTTTGTTCTCCAGTCACTGAGGTGCCTCTCTGGAGTCTTCCCTTCGGCAGCCAGAGTCACAGGCTTTGTGCAGACCCCTCACTTGAGCAGACTGCTGATGAGAAGGGGGTGAAAGAACACTGGCACAGCACACAACTGGGGAGAGCTGGGGAACTCGTGATGCATGGGTGTTCTTGTCTCACAGATAAATCCTGTTTCAACACATTCTTCAACTTCGAGGATATGCAAGAGATCACCCAGCACTTTGCTGTCTGTCACGTGGACGCCCCAGGCCAACAAGAAGGGGCACCCTCCTTCCCAACAGGGTAAGTAAGGCCCCAGGGGAGATCTCTGGGAAGTATGCAGGCCAGGAACCAATGGGGGCTCCAGGGGGCAGCCTGGTGTTTCCCTCCCACTTGGTGGTGTTGCCTGCCTGTCTTTCTGCCCTAGGTCTCAGAAGCTTGTGTGTGCATCTGTGGAGGGCTCCTGGAAAGCCTCTTCATGACCAGGACTTGTGTTCCTGTAATCACAAGGCAGAGTGTGTCTAGATCACCCACTTCTCGCTGACTTTGATCTGTCCCCTGACTCATTCACTTTACATTTGTCACCTTTGTGTCTCTTCCTAAATTGCCAAATACCTAGGCTGATCCCAGACTCCTTTGAACTTGCCCTGGGAGTGCCCTCCCATCTGAATTCCCCCCTAGGGGTGGGTCTTGGACACCTGGGGAACCATTTATTCTGAAGCCACCTTGACAGGCAAGGGCACCATCTGCCTGGCCTTGGCGCTCATCATTATCCTAAACTTGCTCTGCATGTCA